CATTTCACCGACAATCATTTCACCGACAAATCTTCACCAACATTATTTCGAAGTTATCCTTTTTTGGTAGTTAATTGCCAGTGAAATGTACTGTCGGTGAAATGATTGTCGATGAAATAATACGGACCCATTCGGAATGGACATAAATTCCAAATGGACATACAATACATGTACAGGTGAAGTGTTTCCAGACAGATCGGCTCTGGTATGACGTTTTAGATCTAGTGTTAAATAACAAATCAAAGCCCGATTTCTTATCGGTGATTGCATTTAGTTGGTGGCGCATGCGATGGAGGAGGCATTTCTTCTTTTGGTTTACAAAATACAGCTAGTACTAGTTGCTCTGCTTAGTGCTAAACCGAAAAATCAGTGTCCGATTTATTACCGTTTTGAACTTGCTTTGAAAAAAAATTTTGTGAACCTATGTGTAAAGCCGGCCGTAGAATATTTAAAGATTAGCAAATTAATCGACACACACCGGACAAAAGACATTGTCGTTGACCATTTGCTAGCCAAAGGCAAAATATTTTACGGAACACATATAAACGGCCTTCGTACCTTAACTTCAATTGAAACTGAATATTGAAGTAAAAACAAACGCTTATTCGCTATATGGTGCTAACTAAATTTATATAGTCTATTACCATATTCAGAACCCATTTTTGAGAACATGACCAATAAATTGTGATCAGAATGGCGTATGATATTTAAACCGTTAACCGACACTTTTATGGTTGTACGGCATATTCTGCAATGGAATTATGTTACACATACACACTTCCGCGCTTTCATTGCAAAACAATGGGACTAAATATATCGTTGTCTTTCTCGGAAAATACAATCAATCAGCTTCAAAATGGTATAAAAGTTATTGTGACTCACATTAGTAAGAGATTTTCGAAGAAAAAGATTCTCATATTGGCGTTTTGGATATCTGTAGCATAGGGGAAGTCCCATATTAAAAGTTTTTTTTGTCAATCATAGCTATGCCTCAAAATTCCCGAAACGAAAAAGATCGCGTATACACGTGCTATCACGTAGTGATCTACATTGAACACGTAAATATAAATTGGAAATAAATTTTTTCAAGAAAGCAACCAATTTCACCACAATGTTGCGTAAATTACAAGCTATAGGAATATTATTGATACTAGTCATACTAGTAAAAAGTTCTACGGCGGATCTTGTTATTACCGATAATGTTGCAAAAAATTCTGCAAATACAACAGCCGAAATAGCCACTGATAGTGGTTACCCTATACATCAAGTATCGATGGTTATTCGTGGATGGCTTGTCCCATTAGATTACCTACGCCTTCACTGGGTTGACTGGACTCAACAGTCAAGATGGTACGAAGACATCGACACCGACGGTCATGATTGGTTAACAGTGCAATATACATCCCCATCCTGGGCAGCAGGATACTACTACGAAATGTCCTCGTTTTATGGGAACGGAAACACGGCCACTATACTTTGGTGGGATGGTTGGGTAAATGGAATATATTGCAATGATCTTCATTTTTATATAAAGAAGGTTTTTACCTACAAGTGTAACCGTAAGACGGAAATAATCTGGGGACAAAATTGTAATTATCCACTATAGACAAAAAAACGCTAGCGTATTAACGCTAAGTAGATTTTGTTGCCGTATCCTGATGCACGCTCATGCACGTGCGTTTCTATTTTACATTTTTCTTTGTTTTTTCAGTACTTTATTTTTCTTTCGCACTAGCCTTTAAATATTTAAGTCCGTAATTTTAACATACATATTATCCGGCTGTTTTTATTTGTACTTACATTACATTACATTATTATGCATAAGTATAATACATACAGCCATTAACTCCCCAAAGGAGACCAGCGTTTTTTATCTTTTGTTTGGTATTGTTTGTTTAATTTAATTTATTATTTTTACTCAACTCGTAGTAATAGTGCATTACCTTTACATGTTATTATTATTATTATTAAAATAAAGCCAAATTTGTCATGTTTGTCACATGCTCAACAAAGTTTTTTGGTCGCTTCTAATTTATATGCAAAAAAAAATTTTTTTATCGACATGTCGTTTCCCCACTTGATGACTTATCTTACTAGTTATACCTACTTGTACGCTATAAAGCTCTTGCTGCTATATCAAATTTCTTTCGCTACATCTTTTTTATCAGCACAACTTTTACGCATTTTTTACTCAAGAAAAAATTTTTTTTTTCATTATCCAATATTCTCATTGAATGAAATAACCTCTCTTCTTTAATTTTCATTGCGTCTGTCGTGTTTTTGTCTTTATTATTCATAAAAAGGCCCAATTCCTTACTTCTCGTATTTGATTACATCCATATTTCTTATTTGTATGTGTTTGTGTCGTTCTTTTCTTACTGGTATTAATTAACACAGACAAAATCCGTTATTTACCGGCCTTTCAATTTCCATGTTCGAGTACACTTTACCTCATTCAGTCATATTACCAATAAAAGTATTCCCTCAGCCCGCTACTTCATCTAGATTAGACGGTGACCATACGTAAATTTCTCGCTATTTTTTCTTACTATTCATTTTCATGTACACACATCTACTCCATTACTCCCCACTAAATTCCAGTTGTACACTCACTGGACGAAAGTATTCACCGATCAATTATAGTGAAACCTGTTTATGCCGGACGGTTTTGTGTCCGGTATAATGAGATTCCAGCATATGCATATACCGGCAAAAGAAAAGATTCATGTGATCTTCAGTATATATAGAAATGGAGTTTAAGACGCATAGTTTATTTATATCAAAAAGTGTAACAGAAGTAATATGACATAAAACAATGATTCCTCTTCACGTGACTTATCGAGACTGACTAAATTCATTACGTATTAGTATAGATTGCCAAAATTTCCCTTTTCTGGATGAGCGATTTAGCGGATTTATAGTGCGTTTTCATTACCTAAATTAAGGTTAGCGTTTCCACCCAGCTTTTTGATGATTTAAGCTTTTGTGGCTATAATCACGATCGGTTTTGATATCAGTATTGGCTTGAATATACAAACGATTGCAACAAAGTGTGCATATGATACCATGACTTGTCTCTCTACAAGCAGCCTGGGAGCTAGAACTAATGACTGGGCTAAATTGTGATGGCTGCGAGACATGGTCATCTGTTTCAACATTAATATATGACAAAGTTCGAATTTCTGAATTATGACTGTTAGTCTGTAGGTTGTTTGAACAATTCCCATGCAGTGTTACGTCTACTCGCATTAGTCCTTTTATTGATGGTATATTTCATTTTAATTTACATTGTAATTGAAAGTGATACAATTTCGAAAATATTGATGGGCCAGGCGAGTTACTAAATTTGATAGCTTGAACCCCGTGCGTTCTCATCAGTACCTCCCCTGCCATATTTAGTAGTAGCGATAAAGATACTTCCCAAATGCAGAGTAGGGGAAGTAGCCAAATTTAGTAACTTGAAGCGCTACCATATCTGGTAGGGGAGGTAACTGATGAGAACGCACCCCATTTTATTGCCAAATTTGGGAAAATACCCACTACTAAACATAGTAGACGAGGAACACAATTCATTTATAGTCAAGAAATTTCCGACGTTTTATTGGTCATACACTCAGACTAATTTGGGCCATTGTATAGAAAAAGTGTCGGGATTATTGACTATAACTGACTTACGTAGTAAATATGTACAGTAGGGAACTAATCGATTCCAATTCATTTTTGCCACAGTGAAATTTTCCAATTCGGAGGATAACCCTCCCTCCTCCGACTCCACACGGCACTGACAAAGACCATATACAGGCGGGGGAGACAAAGTATTGCACACTTTATATTTATGATATTGAAGTTTTTTTATTAAACCAAAATATATATATATTTACTTAAAGTAAACTTCAATAGTTAGTATTTCCTCCATTTGCAGCAATCACGGTTGGGCATAGATAGTATCAAATTACGATATACTTTTTGCGGAAGCGCATTACACTCTTCTTTTGCTGCCTTCTCAAGTTTGTGAACATTTGAAAGCTGAGGATTCATCCGACTATATGACTTTCTTCCAGTTTGCAACAGTCCAATTCCTTCCTTTCCATTGCCCACTCGAGTCGAATTTTCTGATTTTTTTTCTAAGAAGAGAGGCTTTTTTAAAGGAATACATGAACGTACATTTTCTTCATGAAATGCATGGTGAAGTGTTCTTGTGGAAATTCGTCGGTTTTTAGCTTTAGAAATTCCTTTAGTAATTCTCAGATTTTTGTCGTCGTGTTCGCTTTTCAATTTTTGTCGATTCCGCTAATTGAGAGAATGCGCGGCCGGCCTGATTGTTTTTACGGAGATTTTCCTGATTAGGCTGCAAAAAACCGTTGAACTGTGCATTCTATCATTATTGCGACTGTGCATCATTGTAACCTAGTTTTTTGTGCAATTATACCACCCAGTAAGCGCGCTAGGGTAAAAAATAGTGTATTTTTTGTGGTTATCACAACCTGTTTTATTAAGGCAAATGGTACAGTAGATGATACAAAAGTTAGTTTTTAATTACATATAAAATTTTTTTCAATATCATACATATAAAAATGTGCAATACCCCCCCCCCCCCGGGTACTCATTGACAGACATGTTGACCTATCCTCACACGGATCCGGTTTATTTCGCCGACAACCGACAGTACGTTTCGCCGACATAAATTTCATGATTGCGATAAAAATTGTGTTACGTGAAATAACTGTCGGCTGTCGGTGAAATGATTATCGGTGAATATCTTTTATAGCTAGCAACTATTTGAATGTGGAATGTAGCTTCTTTATTGAACCTCCGTGATATACGTTAAATTATATAGCACCTCTGATTTTCCTGTAATATGTTTAGCGCGTACCTGTGTGGCTTGGCAATAAAGTCGTACTTATAGTGTACATTGTTTATACACGAGGAACAACTTAATAATGATCTACGTCCAACGTAAATATAAATTGGACATAAATTTCTCTTCAAGAAAGTAACCAAGTTAACTACAAAATTTTTAACTACAAAATTTTTAACTACAAATTTAACCACAATGTTCGTGCGTAAAGTACAAGCAACAGCGATATTATTAATACTAGTCGTACTAGTCAAAACTTCTACGGCGGGTCTTGTTATTACCGATAATAATAACAATCAAAATACGGCTGGCAATCAAGGACTAAAATTACCGCCTCCTGCACCTCCTGCACCTCCTGCACCTCCTGCACCTCCTGCACCTCCTGCACCTCCAAATTCAAATTCTACGGCTGGTAATCAAGGACCAAATTTAAATTCTACGGCTGGCAATCAAGGACCAATATTACCGCCTCCTGCACCTCCTGCACCTCCAAATTCAAATTCTACGGCTGGCAATCAAGGACCAATATTACCGCCTCCTGCACCTCCTGCACCTCTTGCACCTCCTGCACCTCCAAATTTAAATTCTACGGCTGGCAATCAAAGTCCAACAGACGATAGTGATAGTGGTTACCCTATACATCAAGTATCGCTGGTTATTCATGGATGGCTTTTCCCATTAGATTACCTACGCCTTCACTGGGTTGACTGGACTCAACAGTCAAAATGGTACGAAGACATCAACACCGACGGTCTTAATTGGTTAACAGTGCAATATACATCCCCATCCTGGGCAGCAGGATACTACTACGAAATGTCCTCGTTTTATGGGAATGCAAACACAGACACTGTACTTTGGTGGGATGGTTGGGTAGATGGAATATATTGCAATAATCTTCATCTTTATATAAAGGATGTTGTTAAATACAAGATTAACCACGCGAGTGAAGTAATCTGGGGACAAAATTGTACTTATCCACTATAGACGAAAAATTTGCTAGCATATTAATGCTAAGTATATTTTTGTTGCTGTCTCCTGATGCGCTGTTTTTTATTTGTTATTGCAGCACTTTATTTCCTAGAAACTCTTTCGCACTAGCCTTAATTCGTAATTTTAACATACATCTTATCCGGCCGTTTTTATTTAGACTTACGTTAATTAGATTATATTACTATATTATTATGCATAAGTGTCGCTCATTGTTTTTAATTAATCATTGTACAAATTACCTCATCACTTTTCGCAATTTTCATCAGACCTAAATACGATCTTGCTGGTAGCTTGTTCATCTAACCGTTTCTTTGATGCTTTATTTTTCAGACCACTCCTTTTCAAAAAGCACTTCATGTGCTGTATCCTGATAAGGCTCCATAATCGGAAACTCTTTTTCAAATAAATCATGAGCTAGCAACTCGTTACTTTATTAGGGAGTTCAAATCTTTTTCTCTGTTGCTTATTAATCTAAAAAAAAAGTCATTTATTTAGTAGGTCGTTTAATAAAAGACTCTTTAACAGTAATCTATTCTCACATAAAGAGTATTTCTTTAGAGTCAAGTAATACAGATAGTTCAGGAAAATACTTGGCCCTTTTTCTCGCTAGCTTTAATCCTCTTTGGTCTCGTATAGTACTGAATCGAATAGATAAAGCAAGTCTCTGGCTTCTAGTTTCCAGTTTCTAGTAACAGGAAGCGTAAGTTTAAGAGAAATCGCTTTGTAAGGTCTCGTGAATTCTCAAGTCAAGATTATCGAACGCCAATCAGATGCGATCTACAAAATTTCCGATAAGATAGTCGACTCTGCTACCTAGTGTATTACCTTTACTTATTATTATTATTTTTAAAATAAACCATGTTTGTCACATGCTCAACAAAGTTTTTTGGTCGCTTCTAATTTATATGCAAAAAAAAATTTTTTTATCGACATGTCGTTGATGACTTATCTTACTAGTTATACCTACTTGCTGGTATTAATTAAACACAGACAAAACCCGTTATTTATCAGCCTTTCAATTTCCATGTTCGAGTACACTTTACCTCATTCAGTCATATTACCCATAAAGTATTCTCTCAACCCGCTACTTCATCTAGATTACACAAAGTAGACGGTGATCGCACCTGGCTCGATTGTTTTCATCCGTAAATTTCTCTTACTATTCATTTTCATGTTACTCCATTACAGTGAACCCTCTCTAATATCCCCCCGTTAATATCAACCTCTCTCTATTAGCAACAGTGGTTACAGAACGGATTTCCCCACATTTAAATTCTCCCGCATATATCAATTTGGATATCATACCCCGTTGATATCCCCATCAATACATATCAGATTTTATTCCTAATTAAATGTACCTCGCTGATATCAACATCAATATAAATTAGTATTTTAAAATTTAAAATTCTGATCTACAAATATCACTTATTTACTACGTAATGTCCTATTGTGTACTAAAACATACTCCACAGGTCTAATTCTGATAGTTGTAATAAAGGTAGCGACATTGAAATCGAAAAATTTTCTCATTATACGGCATTGAAACAATGCAAATTACTTCTGCAGTATGTATAATAGCAAAAGCCCGCCAAATTCGTAGAAGAGCAAGACATGCCAAGCTTGCAAAGTCTGTTGCGACGCATTCAATCGAATATACATTAGCAAATTTTTCATCAAAGAGAGAGAGAACCACAATTTATAAGAGGTGAACAAATTGGTTTAGTTTGTATGGAGAAAGAAATAAAGTGATTTTTATTATAAATAAAGTTTAAGATTTAATTCGAGACATAAGTATCGTATATAATATCATTACATATAACGTTATTATTTAAACCCCTAACACCCCCTATCATATCCCGCATATATCAACGAAATTGGCCGGTCCCTGGGGTTGATATTAAAGAGGGTTCACTGTACTTCGTACCGTCGATTTATCACCTCCCCGATGATTGTCCCTAAATTCCAGTTGTACACTCACGGACAAAAGTATTCACCGATCAATTATAGTGAACCCTGTTTATACCGGACGGTTTGGCACAGCTCTTGCCGTGTGAGGATAGGTCAACATGTCTGTCAAAGAGTACCGGGGGGGGGGGGGACAAAAGTATTATGATATTGAAAAATTTTTTATATGTATTAAAAAACTAACTTTTGTGTCATCTACTGTACCATTTACTTTAATAAAACAGGTTGTGATAACCACAAAAAAAACAAACAATTTTTTACCCTAGCGCATAAATGAGTTTTGACAAAGCGCTTACTGATTCTCAAAAAGGTGGTATAATTGTAACAAAAAACTAGGTTGCAATGATGCAACAGTCGCAATAATGATAGAATGCCATCACACGGTCTTTTGCAGCCTAATCAGGAAAATTTCCGCAAAAACGATCAGGTCGGCTCAATCAGCGGGGTCGACAAAAATCGAAAACCGCTGTTACTGCGAACAAAAAACACGACAAAAATCTAAGAAATTACTAAAGCAATTTCTAAAGCTAAAAACCGACGAATTTCCACAAGAACACTTCACCACGCACTTCATGAAGAAAATGTACGTTCGTCTATTCCTTTAAAAAAACTTCTCATCTTAGGAAAAAATTGGAAACTTCGGCTCGAGTGGGCAATGGAAAGGAAGGAATTAGACTGTCGCAATCTGGCAGAAAGTCATATGGTCGGTCGGATGAATCTACTTTCTCTCAGTTACGGTGGCACTGAAAAAACGCAATCCTCAGCCTTCAAATGTTCACAAACTTGAGAAGGCAGCAAAAGAAGAGTGTAATGCGCTTCCGCAAAAAGTATTGACGTTTACTTTAAGTAAACTTCTTTAATATCATAAATATAAAAGTGTGCAATACTTTTGTCCTGTATATGGTCTTTGTCAGTGCCGTGTGGAGTCGGAGGAGGGTGGGTGTGGCAAAAATGAATGGGGATCGATTAGTTCCCTACTGTACATATTTACTACGTAAGTCAGTTATAGTCAATAATCCGACACTCTTCTATACAATGGGCCAAATTAGTCCCAGTGTATGACCAATAAAGCGTCGGAAATTTCTTGACTATAAATGAATTGTGTTCCTCGCCTACCATGTTTAGTAGTGGGTATTCAATAAAATGAATGGGGTTCCCGAATGCCAGGCTATCCCCCTACCAAATTTAGTAACTCAAAACGTACGCCTTGACCCATTTTGAGCTGTCAATATTTCATATGAATTGAAAATGTATCACTTTCTTTCCCACTCAATTACAATGTAAATTAAAATGAAACGATTGAGTTTATACCATCAATAAAAGGACTAATGCGAGTAGACGTAACATTTCATGGGAACCTACAGACTAACAGTCATGATTCAGAAATTTGACCATGTCTCGCAACCATCACAATCTAGCCCAGTCATTAGTTCTAGCCCTGTAGAGAGACAAGTCATGGTATCATATGCACACTTTGTTGCAAGCGATATGGTGATTATAGCCACAAGAACTTAAATCGTCAAAAAGCTGGGTGGAAACGCTAACCTTAATTTAGGTAATGAAACGCACTATAAATCCGCTAAATTGCTCATCCAGAAAAGGGAAATTTTGGCAATCTATACGTAATGAATTTAGTCAGTCTCGATCCGGTTCATTTCACCAACAGTACGTTTCGCCTTTGACATCAATAATAAGTGCGATAAACAATGTGTCACGTGAAATAACCCTTCCTCTTTATAGCTAGCACTATTTGAATGTGGAATGCAGCCCTAGCCCCCCTTCTTTATTGAACCTTCGTGATATACGTTAAATTATATAGCACCTCTGATTTTCCTGTAATATCGCGCGTACCTGTGTAGCTTTGGCAATAAAGTCGTACTTATAGTGTACATTGCTTATACACGAGGAACAATTAATGAAAATCCTAGATTGCTTATACATGTGCTCATACACACTAATGATCTACATCCAACGTAAAATATAAATCGGACATAAATTTCTCTTCAAGAAAGTAACCAATTTAACTACAAAATTTTAAACTACAAAATTATAACCACACCACAATGTTTGTGCGTAAAGTACAAGCAACAGCGATATTATTAATACTAGTCGTACTAGTCAAAGCTTCTACGGCGGGTTTTGTTATTACCGATAATGTTGCAAAAAATTCTGCAGATATATCAACCGAAATAGCCACCGATAGTGGTTACCCTATACATAAAGTATCGATGGTTATTAGTGGATTGCTTGTCCCAATAGATTACCTACGCCTTCACTGGGTTGACTGGACGCAACAGTCAAAATGGTACGAAGACATCAACACCGACGGTCATGATGGGACAGTGGAATATACATCCCCATCCTGGGCAGCAGGATACTACTACGAAATATCCTCGTCTTATGGGAAAGGAATCTTGGACACTGTACTTTGGTGGGATGGTTGGGTAGATGGAACATTTTGCAATGATCTTCATCTTTATACAAAGGATGTTGTCAAATACAGGGTCAACTATAAGTGGGAAGTAGTCTATGAACAAGATTGTCGTTATCCACTATAGACGAAAAATTGCTAGCATATTAACGCTAAGTGCATTTTTGTTGCTAGTCTCCTAATGCGCGTACGTTTTTTATTTATTCTTGCAGCACTTTATTCCTAGAAACCTTTTCGCACTAGCCTTAATTCGTAATTTTAACATACATCTTATCCGGCCGTTTTTATTTAGACCTACGTTATATTAGATTAGATAGTTTTTTATAGATTGTTTGGTATTATTATTATTTGTTTAATTTAACTAATAGAATTATTCTTTTACTCAGCTTATTACAGCAGAGAGATTCCGTTTTGTCATGCAGATTGTTTCTTTTGAAATTCTACGAATTTCTTTCAAACCAATTAAATGTCATGATCTGTATATACAGTATCAGCTGTTACAGCGCGCTCTTTCATGTTTATTTATTTTATCATTATTATGAATAAGCTATAAACTTTACAAAGACTAGATTCGTTCAGCAAGCTATTTGAAGGATATTCTAAAGATTATCTAAACAGTGTCGCTCATTGTTTTTAATCAATCATTGTACAAATTACCTCATCACTTTTCGCAATTTTCATCAGACTTAAATACGATCTTGCTGGTAGTTTGTTCATCTAACCGTTTCTTTGATGCTTCATTTTTCAGACAATCACTCCTTTTCAAAAAGCACTTCATCGACTCCATAATCGTTACTGTTATTAGGGAGTTCAAATCTTTTTCTCTGTTGCTTATTAATTTAAAAAAGAAGTCATTTATTTAGTAGGTCGTTTAATAAAAGACTCTTTAATAGTGATATATTCTCATATAAAGAGTATTTCTTTAGAGTCAAGTAATACAGATAGTTCAGGAAAATACTTGGCCTTTTTTCTACTGCTGCACTCGCTGATGCATGTCGCTAGATTTAATCCTCTTTGGTCTCGTATCGTACTGGGTGACTTCTGTGATATTCGTTGGCAATAGCTCTGGCTTCTAGTTTCCAGTTTCTAGTAATAGGAAGCGTAAGTTTAAACTCAATTTAAGAGAAAATCGCTTTGTAAGGTCTCGTGGATTCTCAAGCTACATACTCGTAAAAGCGTGTTTCTGTTGTTAGTTTCGATTCTTATTTGCAGTATTAGATTGATAAGGCATCATCAAATTCTCCAAGTCAAGAACACCATACATCGTGTTTATCGTAAATCTTGACAATGTAGTCATTCAAGGTGAGGTTTCGAGGTCTTTATTTAGGCACATGTCATTCAAGGTGATGATGATGGAGATACAATGACCAGTGATGTTATCGAATGCCAATCAGATGTCGATTGCAGAATCGATCTACAAAATTTCCAGTCGACCCTGTTACCTAGTGTATTACTTTACTTATTTTTAAAATAAAACCAAATTTGTCGTGTTTGTCACGAGCTCAATAAAGTTTTTTGATCGACTTTGTAATCAATTAATATGAAACTGAATCGATCTGTGTGTAACGCTTAGTTTCTTTTTCAAGACTGCTTGACCTTTTATGGACGATTTTGACGTTTATCTTACCATTTACAGTTATATATCACCAAGAAATTCACTATAAATAGTTAAAAGTCCGAAAATGGGGGAGCATTCTTATATATTATATAAAGTAAAAAAGTAAATTCTACGTTGAATGTGTCATCTGATCGCTTTGAAATCGCTTTCTACAACAAAATTTTGATACTTTAATAAATATTTTAACGTCTTGTCATAACCAGCTTTTAATATTTGTTTTCCGGTTATTTTGATGTATTGATTAATGGTTGTTTTAGATATTATTTGACAGATGATGTGTCCTTATTAATATCAACATTTTTTAGCTCGACTTTGAAAAAAAAAATTTTTTTGCATGATGCTTTACTTGAGGAATATTTTAGTCCAGTTGTGAATTCTTACTGTGTTATATGTTTTTCATGTTCACTCAAAATGTATTTGTAATTGTTATCGTTAAGAATATAACAAGCCATTATCGTTATAACATATAGCTTATCAAAAATTTGTCTCTCGCGCAAATGACAAAAAACCACATCGCGAAAATGTTACGTTCCGATCGATAAAATACGAATTTTCTCCTGAAAGAGGAACGATTGTTATATTCGAAGATCTATGTAGTGAACCTAAAAAGATACAATACTTCGCTGAGGGACGCCATTCCAACATCAATTATCTAGTACACCTTTAGCGTTCAATCGTAGGTGTAAACAAATAAAGAACGCAAAACTCCAACATCAATTATCTACGTAACTCAAGGTTTTTTCGATTGTCCAAAAATAATAAGAAAAAATCTAGATTATATTGAGCTATTTAACGGTGCTGGTACATACGATGGATTGGTTGATATTGTTAGACGGCATACGTAACGCCGTTGATGTAATCGACAAGAATTTGCAAGGTCGGCAGTTCATTGTAATTGGCTTGACTAGAGCGAAAGAGGATCCTATATACATTCGTTTGGGTTGGGACACGCCCTTGAAATTAGACACATAGAATAAGATTTCACGTTAAATAGGTACGTTACTAATTTAAAGTGGTACCACAGCCCATAATATTCTGTAAACATGCATAGCGTAAGGCGAGTTTCCGATCATTGAATCCATCAGGGCAGTAAACCCACTCCACGAATTTTCTTTGTATCTTTATACACACTTGAATCTTTTTGCCAATTTCCCTTGCACGTTTGAGTCTTCTGATTGCATTGCATTCCCATAGCTCATAACGATTTAATGCATACTTATTCTCATAACTATATCCAGAATTAGATTTTTATAATTTACACCACAGTATTTATTTCCGGTACATGAAAATTTCCAATGCCTCTCCATTCCTATACTGTATGGTTATAATTTCCTAATTCTTTTTTCTTTGTCTAATCGATCACAAGAGAAACAGATTGCTATTCCAATTTCAAGTGCATATGAACCACCATCCGGAAATCGTATTGTTTTCCTAGCTTTTCAAGATATCTTTTACTCTGATCCAATAAAAGATTATTTTCTCTGAAATATGTTAAACGGACCCAAATTCGCTTTTTCCACTCTCCAAGAGTTTCATAGGTGCGAACTTGTGGCATATTGCAATATTCATCCCATTTAAGGGAGTGTAAGAATCCATTCTAAATAACTTAATCGATTATAGAGATTAATATACTTTTAGGTTTTTAGACTTACACATGTATACCCGTAACAAAATTCAATTTTTTTGTTTTACGTTTTTGTATATTACTCTAATCGTAGGAGGTACTTGGCGCATAATGTGATCTAGATTCACGATTTGATTGTTTCGCAGCTGTACGGCGGAGTGAGGGTGTTTGTTAACTACCGCATACTGCACACATTTCTTTGCGAAAAAAAAATTCGACAGGCATAAGAGAAGTCATATTATCATGTAGATCGGAGTATATTAGTAATGTACACAGGAAAATATATTCGATTATATCTGATATAATATATCGATCTCCAGCTTTATTGACGCAGAGATGAGGATAATAATTTTATTCGAACAGCATGGCTTTTTTTCGTATTTTGACGAAGATAATCTATAAAAGGAGGGCGAGCTTGGTGGAGAAGATACCGTAGAACCATCTTCTGTACTACCACTTGAGCTAACTGGAAGCGTATGATATAGAATAGATACAGTGTGTATTGAAAAGAACCGCTTTCACAAAAAAATCATAACTCAATGGCCATACGAAATTTTTAAACAATTTCAATTTTTTAGAAAGCTTATCATGTGCTTTATTATATATATATATACACCCCCCTGACAAAAGTATAAGTACGAGACGAAATTTTACTAGTAAAACATATGAAAACTCCTTACTTTCGAAAATCTCTATTGTCCATACGTACTATGTAACCCACAATGATTTTGGTACCATTTTGAAGCTAATTGGCTGTATTTTTCGAAAAGAATTGTGTGGAATTTAAATTAGTTACTGTAATGAAGAAGTAGTTCGATGAAGTGACAGCACTATGTTATACATATGATTTCATATGTGTAACATAATTTCGCCACTTCCTCGAACTACAGTTTTGAAACGACAACAAGACTGAGTATATCATAATTTTTTCTGAAAAATACAATCAATTAGCTTTAAAACAGTACCAAAATCATTGTGGATTACATAGTACGTATGGACAATAGAGATTTTCGAAAATAAGGAGTTTTCATATGTTTTACTAGTAAAATTTCGTCTCGTACTTATACTTTTGTCAGGGGGGTGTATATAATTTTCAATACAAAATTTTATCCCCGTTTTTCCTCCAAAACAAGCTTACAACTCTTTTTCATCGATGAAATTAAATTTTGTACAGTTGTTTCTGGAATTCTTCAGTTATAAACGGTTTTGATTTGTCAATATTTCTTGGAACCCGCTTTTCAACGTTATTGTTGACAATATACCACATGTTTTTGATGGGGTTTAGGTCCGGACTATTAGATGGCCAGTCAATAGTCCGAATTTCATTTTCTACAATAAAATCCTTAGCAACACGTGATGTGTGCTTTGGATCATTGTCTTGTTGCAGACGCCAGTTCTTGCCATACATTTGTTGAGCAGCAGGCAGCAGATAAGTCTGCAATATACTTACATAAAAAAGCCCATTATATTCGTAAAGCAAAATAAAGGTATTTTTTCCTTTCATGAAATACCCCCATGCCATTACTTTTTGGTAATCGGCGAATCGGTTTTTCGCCACCCTCATGTCACCGACTGACTTTATTCAAAAAAAAAAATCAAATGCCGTCTCATCAGTGAATATAGTTCGAGCCCAATTGTCCCGTAAGTGTGCCCATGCCCAAGCTTTTCGTAGCTCAATATGCCGACTAGTAAGCATTGGCGTTGCACGAGGTATAGAACTCTCATACTCTTTTTTTTTTTTTTTTTTTTTTTTTTTTTTTTTTTTTTCCCTCTTCATATGTCGCCAAATGGCAGCAATATTTTGTGTTTTCTGTACGGCAGAAGCGAGTTGCCGTGTCGATTTAGCACTATTTTGGCGCACTTGCTGTCCAACGTTGCGATGTTT